TTCACCTGCTGGACATGGGCAGCTCAGGACTCTTGGGGTGAATGGGGACAGCCAAGCTCAAGCCACTAGGGGTTGTTTGGAGCCAGGCCTGGCCTGGTGTCCCATTTCAAAGGAGTGCCCAGGGCTAGAGCTACGGAAGTCTTCAAGGGAACGCAGTCTGACCTGCAGGTATCAGGGGTAGGAGTAGCCCCTTTTAAATCTTTTTAGAAAAAAAAAACACGAAAAAACTATATTGCTTTGTGACAGAAAACAGGGAGCAAGCAGATCTCTAAAGCAGCCTTAAATAAACGTAACCCTTCCCGTCAGCGCTTGTCCCATCTCCAGATTTCACTTGATTCCTTCATCAGGAGAGCCAGGGAGGATGTTTGCCCTGCAGACAGAGACCCCCGGCTCTGGTTTTGCTATCAGCCCCATTGCCAACATGGAAAATTCTATTGGGAAGCCAGATTGGGACAAGCTACTGTCAGGGGCTTTGGGCTTTGTCTCCTCCTTCCTCATGGAAATATCTGGGAGAGCTCGGAGAGGCACCAGCTGCTCCTTGGGTAGTGGGGACTGATGACCTAGATGAGTCCAGAGAGTCTGGAGAACTGGGGTGGAGGAGAGGCAGGACATGGGCAATAGGACGAGCAATATCTCCAGCAAATATCTCTAGCAAAGCAAAGATTTTTGGGAGAAGTAACTCTATGGAGTGGTCTTTATGCCTTAGGCCAAGGGTTGGGTTAGGTCAGGAGCAAGCTGGACCTGTACCCAGGCCACCTGGGACAGAAGTGATGGCTCTCGCTGTCTGCACCTCCCTGGGCTTTTGGAGTCTTGGCAGGAATGAGTGGAATGACGGCCTGGCACCACTATGGAGCAGAGACTCCGTAAAGGGACGTTGTGTGTCCATGTCCCAGACCTGCCGAGCACCCTTCCCTGGGGGCAGATCTCACATGGGCCCGTGCCAAAGGCTGGACCAGTGTGAGTAGCCTTCTTGGAGCTGAGCCAGGCAGAGCTGCTTCGGCATCCCGGACCAAGGAGCAGTGTCCATTCTCAGGAGGTGGGTCCTTGGGAAAGAGGGTGCTGAGGGTGCTGGTCTGGGGAGAGGGCCCTGTGGTGGGCAGCTAGCAAAGGACACCGGCCTTCAGGATAAACATTTTTTTTATGCCCAACTCACACTGTCCCAGCATGCAAACAGATAAATAAACTCTCTTCTCTCCAAGAAAGAAAAAAGGGAATTGCGTCTGTGATGCTTCGAGGGAACAGTGGCTGCTCCCAACTCTGCCTGGGTGACACCTGGAGCTGGTTGGCGCAGGCAGAAAGCATGAGGTGATTAACCCGTCTGGATCACCGGGAACAACTGGGCTCACCCAGGAACTCAGATGAAACCACCCGCTCTCTATCCCATCCTACCAGCGCAAGAGAAGCCCTGCATGGCCCTGCAAACATTCCCAGCTGGAGCCAGGGAAGCAGCTTCACAAGACTCTCTCTTTATCCCCTTCCGGCTCCATCCCCATTCCCATCCACGGCCTCCTCCCTCCCTTGGGAACGTGGGGAGGCAGCTCCGGGCCTGCACTCCAGCAATCTTCAGTCACGAGAAGGCCTGGCTGAGGATGAGGACAAGGGCAAGTGTCCAAGCAAGACGAAGGGCCCTGATGGACTCAGTGCAGCGCGGGTAGCCCTGCTGGGAGCTGCTGTGCCCACTCCGCTTCCCGTGGGGCAGCGAGCGGTCCAAGGGTGCTGAGCACCCTCTCCACAGCACCCAGCGCCCAAGCAGCACCCCTGCGGGTGCTGCCGATGCCATGGAGCGATATAGGAGTCACAGAGCTTTCTTGTCTGTCCATTTAATCGCTGTATATACAGAGTCGGGCTGTGATTTACATCCAAGTACACTTGCCTCCGTGTAACGTGGCAGCAAAAGAGCAACCCTTGGATTCCTGTCTTGGTTGACGGGTGATCTCTGTGCGGCGGCAGCTGAGTGGGACTTTGCGAAGCACAACAACGCGAACCGGTTGTGCCCTTCACACCCCGGCTGCCTGAGGGGGAACCAGCCCAGCTCGGGGTGCATTTTACAGCAACAGGAGCTCAGAACGCGGGCAGCAGAGCAAAGCGACCCTTCTCACACAGGTGGTGAGAAGGGCTGCTTGTGCCTTCCCCAGCACCCCAGGATAACCTGCTGAGCCCAAATCCTCCTGGATGGAAAGTGCTGGAGCCGATAAACACGTGCCGTACGGGCACCTGCCTGGAGCGCAGCGGGTTGCCCACACAAGGGATGTGCCCTAGAGATGCTCCAGGTACCTCTGCCTCACACTGCTGGCCCGGCCGCAAGGCTTGGCTGGCACTGCATGTGGGTTGCCCTGGAGCATTGCTCGTGGCATCATGGACCTGATGCGTGGGCATCTCATCTGAGCTCCCCACGACCACAGCTGTTGCCATTGGCCAGTGGTAAGTTAGAAATGATCTGTTTTTTTGTTTTTTTTTTTTTTGTTTTTTTTTTTTTTTTTTTTTTTTCTGTGAAGACATTGGTCACCTGCAGGACTTTGAGGGCAGTACCTGGGCTTAGAGAATTGCCCTGAGTACATCACACATCAGCTCCAGAGCAAAGGTGGAGAGGAGGACTGGGTTATGGTCAAACCCAAACTCTGAAGGTTGGTGTTACAGGACAGAAATGTTTTATCAGCTCTGCATGAGCCCCAGAGAAATGAGAGATTTCCCTCCTTGGCCATTTCTAGGATATGTCATCAAAACACGAATCTGGCACCCCTTGGTTGTCTTATTCCGAAGCCAAGACCACAGAGCCTCACTGCAAACCCAGCTTGCGATGAGAGGCCTCATCCAGCCAGTGGGGCCAGGCTGACACCAAGCAGTGCCAAAGTCTGCAATGAGTCAGGGGAGCTCCAGGCTGGGCCAGATCTGAGCACAGATGATGGGAAACCAGGTGTCCCACCAACGTTTTGCTCCTTCCCTGCTGAGCAAAGGGCAGTTACTTCTGAGAGATGCTGGTTATGCAGCCACACGGAACTGGCATATGGGAGAGGATGTGATGGGAACAGGGGATCCTGTTGTGGGGAGGATTCTTGGAGTGAAGGAATCACACGTGGCACTTCGGGTAGTGCCCTTGCCAAAATATCTGTACTTTGTGGCACCTTTAATGCCTGGAAACTCTAGCTTAGCTAAGGAGGTGGTTTCTGTGGGTCAGCTGAGTGCTTGGGGGTGTTGGGAGTCCTAATAGGCAGAAAAGCACCATCAACAGCACAACTTGCTACTGGGTGTGAGTAAAATTCCCTGTCATCGCGGAATGGGCACACTAGAGGTTGCACAAATCTAGATCACAGCTCTAGATCCAAGTGATGAAGGTGCCTGTGTATTAAGCAAGAAGCTCCACTGAGCAAGTGTCCTATAGACTGATGCTGGTGTCCATTGCTCTTGGTTATTGAAGCACCTCCTCCCAGCAGATCCTCCAAACTCAACCACTCGTCATGTTTTCCTGGAGTCACAGCCTGACCCCCTGCTTCCTGTGAAGGTGAGGGGAACCCAGATGTAACATCAGAGGTGCTGGGAGGAGCAGAGTGGCAAAAGGCTCACCAGGTCGTGGGATCTGCCTTGTAGCAAGGGCCTATGTTGGTGGTGGGATGTTTGCTCTTTGTTGGTGGTCTCAGAGTCACCCATGACAGGCTGGGGCAGCCTCTTTGCAATTCCTTTATACTTTGCTGTCTTTTTCCCCCAAAGACTACAAAGCCCTTCACAAACACAGCTGCCTCACAACTGCCTGCGGAAGGAAGACACTGCAGGTTGGTCTGGTGGGGAAAGAAGGGCACAGAAAGCCAAGGTGACACAAGACACTTTGTGGGGTGTTGGACTCCTTCACAAAGGCCCAATGATGAAAGAAAGATGGAGAAAGACCTAAGATTTGCTTGGCCACGTGTAAGTGTGCACAGTGCACGCGTGTCCTCGAGGACCTTGGCTCAGGCTGCAGCCCGTGAAGCACTGGAGCAAAGAGGAGGGTCGGGATGGGGACCAGGGTCCTGCCTCGACTCCAGCAGGTTGTAGCAGTGGCCAGTCTCATCACACATCTGCACCAGGAATTGCTGCCGTCCACCACCAGTGCCCTCAGCAGGTCCTGGCCACTAATACCGCATGGTGGCTTTGGCAGGAGATGGTGGGACAAGCTGGGGACTCATGTCTCCTGCTCAGGCTCTTTGCTCAGTCTGGAGCTCACCACAACGCCATTTGATCCCAACTTAAAGGTCAGACCTGGTCACTGGAAGGAGCTCTGACCTGGTTAGAGGAAGGAGCTCTGGGGGAGGGAAACATGGAAAGGGACTAACTTCAGGTCTTTGTTTGCAAGAGAATCTGCCGCTCAAAGTCCTGAGGTTCTTCCTTGATTCGCAGATGAGTCACAGTCTGGGCAAACTCTTCCTGGGGTCACCTCACATGGACAGCCCACGAATGTGAATTCCAGCTTTGTTCTCCAGCTCCTCTCTCGGGCAAATGCTCCCTGAGGATCATTTGCAGTCATCCTTTGGCCACTGCTCAGACAGTGCAAGGCCCATTTTAGAGCACTTCTCACTTTTTATTGCGGATCATTTTAAAGAGGTGTCCATGAAAGGTCAAACCATGCCTGCTTTGCCCACCTTTTAAAGCTGAAAGTTGTGGATTTTTGGAACATGCATCATTCTCAGTGACTATGCATATGAGTTTTGGTTATCCATCCAGGAGCACAAGCACTTGTGTGTTTTTAAGCATTGTCCCATCTTCTGACTGCTCCGGATTCGTAGCTAAATATTTTCATAAACTAGGCCTGCAATTTCTTTTTCCCCAGAATATGTTGTACCCAGTGGGATTTCTAAGGGCCCTGTTCCAAACAGCTGTGTAGAAGTTGAGCACTCACCTCCCACCCTCATTGTTATCTGGCTGTGATGCCCTGTGCTCACTGCCACTCCTGAGTGACATGCAGATGCCTTTTTGTCTGTAGACCCTGGACAGAGGAAACGCACCGAAGCATCAGACTCTTGGCACAATTGCCCACTGCCCACTAATGGGCAAATTGCTGAAGCTTCAGGTTGCATAAACATCCCACAGGTATGGTTGTCTCCCCAAGCCTTGATTCCACTGACTCTGTGGGCTTGCTCAAGACCAAGAGGGCTCTTCAGAAGGTAAACGGGCTTGGGTTTCTAGGAGTTTTTTTTTTTCTTGTTGTGACCAACTTGAATATATAGGAAGAATAGTGAGACCAAGGCAGAGGAGGGAGGACATTTCTATGCCCAGGTTGGTTCATAACCAAAGATGGGAGTGGAAATGAAGAAGAAACCACAACAAACAGAAAACGCAGCATATATCAAGCTCTGCTGAGCCTCAAAAGAGGCTCCCACTGGGCAACTAGTTCCTAGTTGGCTTATGTTACCAGGACAGGCTCATCCTGCTCCTCAAGGATGTCCTAACCTCTTGCAACCATGTTAGCCATAGGCTGGCAAAAGGGAGTCATCTGGTAGAGATATGTCTGGTTTCACTGAAATCAGTGGCCAACCTCCCACTGACTTCACTAAGACCACCGTCTAGACAGCATACTTGATGCAGAACAGCGAATTCGCTCATGATCCCTAGAGCTTTGCTCCATTAGCCAATGTGGCTAAAAATGTCCTGAAAAAAACCTGCCACTTTGAACTGTTTTGCTGCACATAATGTTTGGAAAACCAAATAAATGAAATACAACCCTCCAAGCCAACCAACCAGAGAGGGGTGAACTGTTATGAGAGGGGATGGCAGCCTCTAGCGAAGTAACAGTCACGGCAGATTACAAAAGAGCCAAATGACCCTCACCAGCTGTACTAGGAAAAAATAAAAACAAAAGAGATGTTGCATTATCGATAGAAAAACAACGCACATCCACAGTTATTTTACCTACATAGCACAGAAGAATAGAGTAGGGGTGAAGGAGCTTAGTGTGAGTAGGCTCACGCTTCTCCTACGGTAGCATATTATCCTTCGGAAGATCACTGGCTTGAGTAGGTAGTACATGCACAGCAATAAAAAAATGACTTGTATTGTCTTGGTCCCACCTCAGATCTCGGTGGACTCTATTCGCTCGAGTCTAGAGGGAGTCCATTGCTTTTTCTCCTCGGCGTGTGGGGGACTGGTGGCTTTTGTGTTCATCTCATTCACCTTGTGCTCCAGGAGCTGATTCTTCTGGTACATCTCCACGTAGTTCAGCTGCAGCTGCTTCTGGTACTTGATGACTTTCTCCTTCTCTTCTTGCCACGTGCGCCGTTCTTCCTCAAAGTCCATCACCTGCTGCTCCCGCTGCTGCCGCTCCAGCTTCAGCTCCGTCTGGAGACGCTCCAGCTCCTTCCGCAGGGTGTTAACGCTGTCCTCACTCTGCCGCTGCATCTTGGCCTCATCGCTCTCACAGGCCAGGGGGTCCCGCAGCTTCTCGGCTAGGTCCCCGCTGAAAGGCCCTGAAGATCCCATGCTGGCAAGTGTCCGCTTCAGGCCAGAGACCTCCAGCTCACAGTGGTTCAGTTTTTCCCTCAGCACCTGGACCTCACTCATCTTCCTCTGTAGCTCACTCTCGCAGATCTCCAGGTTGACGCTCTTGGAACTGTAAGAATCCTTCAGGGTGAGGATTTGCTCCTCCTTCTCCCGCAGGAAGTTCTTACCTTCCTTGAGCTGGGACCGCAGCCCCACGATCTCATTCAGCTTCTGGGAAACATCTGCCTGGGAATCCTTTAGCTGCTGCTTGAGCAGAGAGATCTCCCCCGCCTTCTGGCACACCTGTGAGGGCCAAGGGGAGAGTGTGCATGAAGTTATGGATGAGACAGCTGGGCCGTGCAGGGAACTGCTCAAATACTGAGCTCCAGCCCTTGCAGGGACCCAGGCTATGACAAAGACCCAGAGTTTGTCCCCACATTTCTGTTGGAGATCTCATGTTTATTCCCATCTCTCAGAGACCTGATGTTCTTCCCAGATGGAGTTAACTCGGTAACTAAGCTAAGTGATCTGGTCCTCACTGGTGATCAGCTGACACCAGTGCTGACACCTATGCTGGTAGGAATCTGGGCTGGGAAACACAAATGAATAATTAAAAGTAGACTTGTAGCTACCTCTAGGTGAGGGTCTCCTGTCCTTCTGAAGCTCCTTTCTCTTGTCATGAATTAAATACTTGGCCTTTCTTCCCTGCTGGGGTGTCTGCAAGGTTCACTGTTGTTCCGGTCTGGTTGGATCAGTGCTTCCAACAGTTGCTCTTCTCCACTGCCTTCCTGTCAACCTTCCCCATCCTCTGCTGTACAAGATCTGCCTGTTGCCTAGAGTCTAGGCAGACCTCGAAGCTCAGGATGCTTTGGTGCCCTCTATGAAGACCTGAAGAGCTAGGAAGTATACCCATGGTCATGTCTTACTGACACTGCCTTCCCTGCAGTTGAGAGTTGAGGCTGTTTCCCATGCAGAGACCTAACACTGTGAGTATCCACATCCATTCCAGAGCCTGCCTGTTCCACACAGCTCCATCACATTGGCTTAGCTGTAGTTCCAGCAATATAGTTACTACCTAGTGAAAACTTAGAATCCCTTTCATGTGGCTTCACTAAAAAAGTGCTCTCTGGGGGCTGGCTTTTCCCAGAAGGCAGAGACACAGACAGTGAAGAACACCTTGGATTATGGATTAAAACACTTAAATTTAGGCAGCAGCTTGTGTTCTGGGCCCCTGAGATCTCACTGCTGGCTGCACTAATCTAGGCAGTGCAGTCCATGGAGCCTGGAGAGTGGCTCAGTCACATGTGTCTGCAAATTTTAGGATTCTTGTTCCACAGGCTGAATCCCACCTCTTTGCATCGATATCATGGGATTGGCTGCTACTGCCTGAGCTCTAGAAGTGAGGCAGATAATCCAAAATTCATCTGCAGTTTTACTAGTGCAGAATCAGGTAACTTAACCAGCCCTAACTTGCTGGAAGAGAAAAAAGACTTGGGGAGACCAGATGGCAAAGAAGGTAGGTGGGACAGCGCAGCCAGCTTTTTCTGGGATGTAACTTGCAGAGGATTAATAGCAAGCTGAATAGTAATAATAATAAGCTCTACTGAACATCTGCAAATAGCACCTTACAGAACCTAATTAAGCCCAGCTTCATTGGCTTTCCATCAGGACTAGCAAAATAAGGTCATCTGGATTCTAGAACTACTTTTTGCTTCTGCGCATTTAATAAATTTAAAGTTTCCAGCCAGTCTGTAGAAGGATTAAAATTCCTTACATGATCAAGCTGAAAAAAAATGTTAGTGCTGGCTATACAAACAGCGTTTGATAAAATGGTCTAAAAATAGCAGTGGAAAAAAAAGTGTAGGACTCGAGAAGTAGCAAGAGGAATTTGACTTTCAGTCTTTAAGGGGAGATAAACTTATTAGCAACTGAAAACAGTGCATTATAGTAGGAAGTATGAGATAAACTTGGCTATCAGTATCATTCTCATTTCTCTCATTTTAAGTCTTAATTTAAAAAATCAAATATATGAGAAGTAGGCTTTGTGGTTGCTGAAATTTAGATGTTGCAAGAATTTAATTAAGAAAGACTTAAACTCAGTTTTGTTAGGCACAAATACCTGTGTGGAAAGATCTGTATTCAGTGAAACCAGTTTCAAATGCTCTGCATTGGAGTGACCTGGCAGTGAAGCATAATTATTAATCAGCGCAAGAATGTGCGTGCAACAGTTGCGTTCATTTGCATTTAATTTAACTGAAAACTACAGATTCGGGGCTCAGGCAGTTAAGTGTGTGACCACATTGTCACCTGTAACTTAGGAGCCACAGACCCACAGTCACTCTCTGTGGGGTGCTCTGAAGACAAACGGGAGATGCTTCGAGCTACTGCTGTGCAAAATTCACTCCAGAGCACAACCTCTAAAGAGAAGAATCAAGAGAACCCAGGGTCTCTGTGTTAGCCAAAATGCATAAGTTTTATTCACTTCTGGTGTCTGCATAGCAATTAATTAATGTCTAGCTTGCTAATTTGTCTGGAAAAATCTCACCCCCCCCATCTGCCTCCCCTCATGTCTTTTTTTTTTTTTTTTTGACAAGCTGACCTGCTAGTTTGCAAACTGCAAATTAAGTTATCTTACTGCTTTGATCTGTATTGCATATCTCAATCTAGGGAAGTGCATCAGCGTCCCTGAGCTTTAGGCTCTCAAACAGATCCAGAGAAGTTGGTGTTCGAACTCATTGCTAGCTCCTAGACACAAGCCATTCAGCAAAATCCCCAGACCTAGATACAATTCTTCGTTACCACAATGAGGACCTTACCTCCCACTTGGTCTCTTCAATCTTTGGGAGAAACTCAGCCTGCTCCTTCTTGAAAGCCACGAATTTCTTCTCCAGTTCCTCTCGCTGTTGGAGGAGTTGCCCCATGTCATCGTGGAGTTTTTTTTTCTCCTGCTGGAGCTTGAAGATCTGGAGCTGCAAGGCCTGCTGAGCCCGTTGGGCCTTTTTGGAAACCTGCTGCAATTTGTTGGCATAGTTTTGCCTCAAGTCCTCCATTTCCCGCTCCCAGATCTTCTGCTTCTCCTCGAACACTTGGAAGATGGCTGCCTCGCTCTTGTCCAAGTTCCTTCGCATCTGGAGAACCTCTTGCTCCTTCTCCCACAGCCGGTCTTCCAGGTCTTGGATGATGTCATCCGTTGAAGGCGAGTGGAAAGGCATCGTTTCATTGAGATGGTTCAGTCTGTTGAACGAAGAGGTGCTCTTGCTCGAAGACCGCCCGCTGTCTGAGGTAGATATCCCGTTGTATCCCACAATGTTCTTATCCACGTAGGTTGTCCCGATGCGGTTGATGTGGCTCGTCGAGGCGCTCATTGGACCCACGTGTTGGCTGTAGCCTGTGCCGTATGTGGGCAGACTCGTTAACGAGTTACGGCCTGAATCTGAAAGGCCTCCCACTTGGTTTGTAGTCCTGTTAAGGCTGGTCTTGTCGAGTCCACTTTTGGGTGCGGACGGGCTATTGCTGTTGGCATGGTTCAAGCTCTTTCTGTTCTCTGTCACCCCGTTGCTCTGCGGCGGGCAGAGATTCTGCATGGAATGGAAGTTTTTAGGAACTACTGGTTTAAAGGCTGAGGGTCTAACTAAGGGCTCATTGCTCTGCAAAAGGAAAAAGGACCACACATCAAACACAGCAGGAAGCTCAGTAACAACACACAAGAGAGAGACATCGGCACAGGCTGGAGCTGATGGAGCTAAGCCAGCTTTTGCTCCGTATTTCTCAGCCTTATTAAACCCTGCACTAATTGGGTTTCAACATGGGGGACGTGTGAAGAGTTGGCCACTCACAGGACAACACTTTTATCTCCTCTCACAACAACTGAAAAATATCTTGACCCACACCAAATCTGCATGATTTTCCCCTGAAATTCTGCTCGGGTTCTTGTAGCACACTCTGCAAGAAGAACTGTTGCCTACCAGACCTGACCCAAGCAGTTCTTTTGATTTTGGCAGGTTATATTTTGAAGGATTGCTTTGCAGTGAGGGGGTGTTTCCTTGTTGTTGAAAACTGAAACCTTGGATTAGCAGCCAGTCTGGCCTAGGAGCAACACATATCCTTCTCGTCTGTCTCCTCCATGTGAACTCCTGCTCATGCTTGGACAAGATTACATGGGACCTTTGGGGCCTGGCCATTGCTGGCTCAAGTACAGCAGTGGTGGCCAAGTAATGTGGTGAGGCTGCTTGAACATCTGTGTTTCCTGCGGCCATGAGCAGTGCTGGGAGGAGAAGGGACTGCAGCTCTGAAGGATTTACAAGAAGAATTTAAAACTTGCAGAGGCTTTTACATTCCTTTGCCAGTGAACGCACCTGAAAAGCAAAATTTTCCTCAAAATGGGTTGATTCTCTTGTACTTCAGGTGAAAATTAACACAGAGGAAGCCCCCATGTGTTGGCAAAATTTCCAGAAGCCTTTCAGGAGAAGCAGTTAGTACAAGCTCTGGTGAACGGGCAAGGCTAGAGAGCAAAACCCTGGCGTCTGCCATGTGGTTTTGAGATGGACTGTTAGGATCTGGTGGAAGGTGGCAGATTAATGACCTAGGAGATAAGGCCACTGAACACTGCAGAAATTGCAGCACAACTCAGGAAACCTGGCGGCCTCCTCAGGGCACAAGTTATGGGAGTCACTGGAGCAGATCACACTGTATAAACACCTCTGGCTCTGGGGTGTTTTACAGAGTCTGAGCTCTGCTCCGCTAGACCCGGGAGAGGTTCATCCCAGGAGGCTGATATGAGCCATGAGGATTGTGCCAGGGTGTGCAAGAATATTGGTAGGGGTAGTTTTGAAACTGTGGCAACTTGTCCTTACAAGTGGCTCTGGGATTTTGATCAGATGCTGCACTGTAGCCATGGACAAGAAATTCCTTCTGGTGCCAGCGGGTCGTTGGAGATGGATTATAAATGGTGCATAATATGAGAGTGTGACTCAGACATTGGACTTACTGAAGGAGCTGGCTGCAGCTCTCTCCGTATCAAGAGGGGAGGTGAGCAGGGCATCTGGGCTAGGTCAGACCAGCTGATGACTTCAGCCTGGTCTTAAATGAGCTGGAAACTTAGCAGTGAAAGGTTTGCTATCGATCTCTTGGGTTCCTCAAGAACTAGCATTGCCCTTTGCTTAATCTCCTGGAAGTAGTAAGGATTACATTATCTCTATATGAGAATTACTTTGTCTGCATAGTAAGAATTACCCTGTCTACCAGGACTGCACCATGCTCAAGGCTTCCTGATCTGGGTTTTTAGAGACCCGGGCTGCATGAGGGAAGGGTTCTCACCTGGTCTAGCTTGCCAGAGATTGGCAATATCTTTGGTGGGTTACTGGGCTCTCGGTATTGGGGAGGAGGCGGCAAGTTCTTCTCATTGTTGGTGGTCACATTCCCACAGATGTCCATCTTCACCTTGTCACTCTTGCGCAGGTCACCGTTGATGTAGAGGGAGTTGGAGACCTTTTCGGACTTGTAGGTCTTCTCCTCGCCAGAGTAGCGGTTGGAGATGTCCCGCGTGGAATATCCGTTGCGAGAGCCCTCCATCTGCCGCCCGCTGCTCTGCGTCCGGGTGCCCACGCTCTTCATGGCGAACTCCTGGTCGTTGGCGACACCGCTGCCCACGCTCCCCATGGTGCTCTGGGAGGCGGGTTGGGAAGGCCGGGGAGCAAAAGTGTGGAAGTTCTCCTGGCTGGGGTACGTGGGCTCACCAAGAACCGGCAGCGTCTCTAGCGTGGCCATGGCAGCTCAGAGGCGACGTGGAGGCACAGGTCAGTGGCACTGGGAAGGTGGAGGAAAATAAAGGACTGTTAAAGAGATGCCCTTATCTGCCTCATCTCCCAGACCCCTGGGCAGGAGCTGACCCATCTTGGTGTGCAGTATGGAGCAGATGATGGATATGCTTTTCATGGAAGGGAAAGTGGCTGCTCCTCCTCTTTGTGACCCCCAAAACAGTTTGGAAGAGCAGTGTGTAGGGAGTACCCAAATCCCTCTCCTTGCTGTGCAGAAGAGCTACTGTTAAGCCTCCTGGTGCAAGGGTTGAGTCATCTCCATGGAGGGGGTCGTGTGGGCTTTAGCAAGCACAGCTCTTCAGGATTGGCTGGACACAATCATTTGCTTGAATTATTTATTAAAATTGCTCACAATCTGAGCTTGAATTATTTCTGTCACTGCTCCCAGGTTTAAATGACCTTGCATGGTTGGATAGAGGGTTTCCATCCCTGATCCATCCATAGGCCTGAGCAATATTGCTCCTTACAGCACATCTGTTAGGAAAGGTTTAAAGGTTTAAAAGGTTTAAAAGTTAAAGCTTAAGAAATAAACTTTCCATCTCTTCCTTTGGTGTATATCAAATGGCCTTAAAGAGCTCACTTCTAAAATACAGTTTTTGTCCAGTACGATTCTAAGTTTTCCTTAAAACCTTTATTCTCCCCTTCTTTTTTCTTAGCTAGTCTGTGCCATGGACTGCTGAAACTAGAACCTGGGAAGCAGATGATGAACATGGTTGTTGCATTTCTCTTTAGGTATTTAGGTATCCTATTTTCCATGCTCAGTCTTACTCCAGGGTCACCAGTTTGGTCTCACCCACAGTGAACATTAGAGCCTACGTATATTCCCCTCAACACCTCCTCATTGCCTGGGCATCTACCAAACTCAGCCCTCGCTTCTACTCAGCCCTATGCTTGTAGTATCTAGGTGTCTCCAGACACGTTGTAAGCTACAGACAGTAAAACAAGGTCTAGCCTTGAAGATGTCCTTGTCTATGCAGCACTGCTGGAGCTCCTTTCTCTCAGACCACTGAACAAGGATGGGGCTTTAGCTAAGAGAAGTCAGTGGTCTCAGCTTCAGAGCAGCTCAGGCTGATGGGATCTTGGCTGAGTCTGCAGCACTGCGGAGAGGCTGCTCTTTGGTGCCAGGAGCCCTCAGTTTCAGGTTTCCTAGGCTAAATCATCCAGGAGGCTCAGGCAAGGCCGCCAGGAATGGGACATGGGAGGGCTTTTCTGTGGGATTTTCCTTCTTGGGGTGTGGTGAGGAAGTCAACCCTCAACCAAGCAAAACAGAAAAGCTGGTGTTACTTCTTTGGAGAGCTAGTTTAGGCCTAGAGCTTGGCTCTGATGCGATGTCTTCTGAGGTCTTGCTATTGGCGGCAAAAATCAAATGGGGAAGAACATACATACATACATATATATATGTATATATATATATATATATATAAAGTTAAAACGGGGTCTGTGCTGCTTGACTTTGCTTTTATTAAATTGCATTTCTGGAAGTGTCTGCCAAGCACGCTGCCTGTAGCTGCCTCAGTTAGAAGGATGCCCTGATGGAGACGTGGGCTGCACATGAGGCTGGTGGGCTCATGCTGCCAGTGCTCTGCCAAAGGGAGAGGCCATCGAGCTGCTGCCTGTGACAAGTTTCAGAGCTCCTCAGGGGCAAAGCAGGCTGCAGAGGAGCTTGAAAAGGGGAAAAAATGTGATTTAAGGGCTTGTTCTGATGCCAGGAAGATGGGATGCAGGTGGGATGGAGTGAAAGTAGACAGCCCCAGCGGAACAAGGAAGGAATCTCCAGGGTTTGAGGCGTTTTCTGTGGGTGCAGACATGTACCCCACTGCCCTGCTGTGCACCAAGCAGGTCCGGTGTTGGAGGGTGACCAGACTCCCAGCCAGGAAGCAACCAGGTGGCTCCCAACCATGTCCAAGATTCTGAGGAAAGAGTTTCCCCATGGGATTTGCCCCACTGAACCACCAGGAATAATAAGTAATGAGCATTGAGTGGGCATTTGGTAGTGCTAATGCTCTCCCTAGGAGGCTGCACCCCTGTTCCCCCAAGACAAATGCCTCCGTGTCGCTCACTGATTATGATCCAAAGGCTGAGCAGCAAGTGAAGCTCACACGGGCATCACTGCACGGGATCCACCAGCATCAGGGCATACACGTTTTTATCAGTAATATGTAACAAAACCTCCACCAATGGAGACAAACATCCAAGTATGGTCACAAACCCAGGGACAACATGATCACCAGCCATTTGCTGTGCTAGGTCAGGACTGTGCCATGCAATATATGGGCATATCTTCCAGTGCATTGAGGAGGACTCAAGGCATCATGACCCACTTACACCTCTCCCCGAAGAATGACATGCCCTCTCCAAAGGACAGCAACATAGTCCACGGGTGCACGACACCCAGAGATAAATCTAGCCACATGCTGGTCACACAGAACCTCGGTTGGGTTACTGATCCAAAGAGAGACAGCCTCAACCCGTATTACCTGGGGATGTTATTAATTAAAGGAAGATTTTTTTATGCTGCTAATTATCTCTGTTTTTCGGAATAACCTGCCTTTCATTGGCTTTGGGATTTTATAGGCTCTCTCTCTCTGGCAGAACACCAAATACCAGGAAAGGAGATCTGGGCATGGGGAGGGAAAGGCTGCAGCGGCGTTTGCCTCTGCACACTGTCCTCCCAGGCCTGGCTCAGCCGGTGAAGAAGAAACCCAGTTTGCCTTTTCCTCAGCTCGGTAAATGCCACAGTGACATTTACACTGACTTTCTGAGGCAGGATGAGGTAACTGGTGAACTTGATCCTCAAAAAAAAAAAAAAAAAAAGACCAACAACATCCATACAGTGTGAGAGAAGGAAACGTCCTTGGTTGGGTGAGAGCTACAGCCTGGGCAGAGTCGTGGAAATGCCCTCCAGGGCACCTTGCAGGGTGGGAGCTGCCCAACGCCATGACTTCTCTTGCCATGGACATCCGTGGTTGTCACGGATGGAGTATTGCAGCTCCCATGGCTCCCGGGGGGGGTCTGCATCAAGGTCATGTCCCAAGTGCCTGGTGGTCCAGCCGACCTTTTTTGCCCTGAAAGCAGGTGCTCCGGCTTCTCCCTACTGATGTGGCATCCAAGCTGCAGGGATGGTCTCCTCAATGGACCTTTTGCATATGTTTTCTTTTCTTTTTTTTTTAACATTGGGAAACTTCCAAGAAAATATTCTGAAAAATATTAGCTTATGTTGATTGTAAACCCTGGATAATCTGATAAACAGAGCATACAGGCAGGCATTTCAAATATGTTTTTAAGGAGATTCCAGAAGTGCCAGCATATCCTCAACAACATAGCTGCCAAGTAGGGCCATTTTTCAAGAATAACATCTCTTGATTTTGTATATTTTGGCCAACTCTTAACTTTTAGCCAGGTTGTACGTAAATCATTCCTTAGGTGAACTATGAAATTAAGGGTTGAGCAAGGCTCCTGACCAAGGGAGCACTAACAAAAATTAAATCCCGAGGTGATTCTCCAGAGGGGAAACGAAGATGCTGAGTGAGAAACTTCCATTTGGGATGTGGATCAATGCCTCAATGCCCCATTTCCCCTTTTGCCCGCTAATCATTGCAGAGGAACAGGGGCGTTTTTCTTCACTATAAATATTGGTTGTGGAAGGGAAGATTTAGCAAGGTAAAAGCTTTCCAATAAACCTGAGGTTGGCTCCGGCAGGCAGTGCTCGTCCCTGCTAGGAGATGTTAGCAGAAAAGCCTTGCATTTTTAGCCTGAAATGCTGTTAATCTCTAAACAGCACTCTCTAGGTTGACGATGACCTGCAGATGGATGGTAAACTGTCCACTGAGACCTGTTAGACAGTAAAATTGAGGTAGCCAACAGGTAGCTTTTGGCCATGAGCACATTTGAGGGTTGTGAGCTTTTCCTGGCTTGGAACCCTATGGTGAAGGCACTGGAGGTTGCACACATGGAGGACATGGAGGTTGCCAGGACACACGTGGGGACGTGTCCTTGCTAGAGCCTGGAGAAATCTCCTTCCTCGCATGGGCGAAGAGACCGAGCCTCTTCCCTTGCTGCAAGGACCTTCGTGCACGGTGCAATGGCAGCCACAAAATTTACGAGTAGCTGCAGCTCGGCACCCTCGGATTTCATTAGTTTACAGAGCAGGGCTCCATGGGAAGCCTCATTAAGCACAAGCAGCCTAATTAAAGTGCGGGATGAGATAGTAAACCATTCAGACATCTGTCCTGCCGCTCCAAAACGCACGGGGATTGCGATGCCAGGAAATCACTGCTCTGCACTCCAGCACCTGTAACGCTGCCGTATAGTACAAGTTGTCCGATCTCCAAGGACACATCTTTTCTTAAACCCTGTTAGCAAATTAAAAAGACAGGGCATCAGGCAGTGCTGGCCAGGGTTATTTTTCCTTTCCGAAAGTGCTAGAGCCCATCTGCGATGGTTTGCAGAGGGCTCAGAGCGTTGTCATTGCTCGTCCTGCCCTTTATGAGTGCTGCTCGGGGATATTACGGCCGTATTTCAGCCTGCCCTGACACACATGTGCTACTTTAATGCCAGGGCTGCAGATCTGGGGGCAAATGGGACTTCCCGGTTGTAAATCTATTTAATACAACTCCTGAAGCGGTCGTCAGCCAGGCTGCACCAAGGAGCATTTCCCTCCTAAGTCCTTCCTTTAAATGAAGAGGGAAAAGGAGGCCAGCTCCGAACACTGCCAGGCTTCAGAGGCTTCAGCAACCTGTTGGCCTTCCCAGATGTTGTATTGTTCCAGATGTTATAGCCCATCTGCAACACTGTAATAGGGAAGCACCAGGACCACCTCACCCTTCATCCTCACCGTGGGCACAGAGGGGCCTCTGAAGGACTCCAGCTCTACCCAAATCGCTCCCGACTGGCATCTATCAAAACAGCAGCTGCCTGTGACAGCCGAAACTCAGCCCTGCGCTCCCCACA